CTCGCAAGGGACCTTTAATAGGGTTAACGAGTTAGCTCTTTTATACCCTGGGAAAGTTCAAACCAGGTGGTGCCCTAGTCACATTGGAATTCAAGGGAATGAGATTGCGGACAGAGCTGCGGGAAGAGGCGCTCGGCTACCTCCTCCTGACCCCCCTTCTATACTCTGCACTGCTACACTTAGAAGAGAAGTTAAAGAGACAGGGGTTCAGCTTGCAAAGAAACTCTGGAAAACCACGCTTCCAAGCTTATACAAGGACCTAGGGCTTAACAACTGGTCTTCGAAGCCTCAATCACTTCGCTTACCAAGGGAGGTTCTTGCTCGCTTAATTGCAGCTCGCTCTGGCCACGGTGACTTTACTCTTTATCACCTTCGCTTCTTTCACCTCGACACGCTACTTACTTCAGGGGAGTGTAAGTGTGGAAGAGAAAAGACTCAATTTCACCTACTATTTTGCCGGCTAGCAAATAGAGTAGCCCCTGAGCTATTTGCAAAGGCTCAGAGGAACCCTCAACTCCTCTTCGGACCACAATGCGAGGAACTGTTTCACAAGATCTACTATAAGACAAAGTTCTACTCTAGGATCTGTCCTCCTAGATAGTCCTCTTCTTCCTTACACTATATCTCCTCTTTCTACTGTTCTCTGGTCCCTGTCTTATATAGTTCTTCTCTTGTTCTCTACTCACTATCTTGTACACTGTTAACTTGTTTTTACTCTAGCTCTTAAACTAACTCAGAACGAGAGCTGTTCCGGAAGTGGGGCTTCTCTTTAAACTATCTCTTGTAAATTAGCGCACTTTCATTTACACCCCCTGTAGCCTAGGGCACCCCCCTAGCGTCATTTGCCCAACACTGGGACTTTTAGGACCTAGCCCACGCGAGTTAGATTCCGCCTGACGTTAAATAGCAATAAATAAATAAATAAATATATAGTTGTTTTACTTATACTAGAAGTTTAGTATAATAGTATTTTATAAAGTATATATAAATTAATAACTTAAAATATTATATTAGGATTAGGGTTCGTTATAGATATACGCGCAAGGTTTACTTTATAATTGTGTAAATTCTTACGTCTAACGAGAAAATTAGTAATATAGTAAAGAAATATATAATCCTAGTTATATACCTTTACTTCTTATTAATAGTAAATAAATTTATTAAACTAAAGGAAGCTATTAAACTAAAGGAAATTATTTAACTAAAGCTAGAACTTAAATATATATAAAAATAAAAGGGCTCTTATAGTAAGGTAATATAACCGCTAACCTCTACTAGCTAGCTTATATTAGGGAATTAAACTCTCTAAAGACTAAACATTAATACTAAACCGTTATTAAGATAATAATAATACTTTAATTATATACCTAAATCTACTTATCCCTTACACTGTAACTCCCTGGGAACTAGTAGGCAGGACTTCCTAAATAGGTTTAGCCTTAGTATTCCCGCTAATCGAACTCGCCGAAACTGTTAGAATACTACTTGCTAAAACTAATTAGGACGTTCTACCCACTAGTTCCCAGGGAGTTACGAAGTAAGGGATACATACTATTATAAATATATACTAGCTCCTAGGTTCCAAAGTTCAAATTAGAACTCTCTCTTCTCGCTAACGGTAAGTATACACTAGGCCACTTGTAATATTTATATATTATAATTTATACGACAAGTTTTGTGGGATGAACTATGAATATAACTCTTAGATCGCTTAGTATAGTAGAAGTTCTAAAACAATGATTGGGATATAGGGTATATAGCCGTGACTAAAGTTCTCTAAGGGGTACTTTGTTCTATTACGTATGATGTTGGACTTGGAAAACAAAGAAACAGGCCCTACAACTATTAGGACTAACTTAACCAAAAACTCTAAGTTGCTTGGATAGCACGCATTTAGATAAACCTATAAGTCTAAGGGAAATCAAGAACGAACGTTATAGTAAACTATATTTATCTGTATGTTTGTAGTCTAGAGCCTATTCAGACTATCTATTATCTGTGCAGATATTCATTTAGTTCTCAACTGTTTGAATCAGTCTAGAACGTGGGCGCTAACGTTGGTATATATTGGTGTCTCTGAGAAACTAACCAAAGTCAAGTCTATTGTTGTCACCAGCCAAAATGCCGATCGCCTGTGTATAGGGAACTTCAGGGACAGAAGCCTTCTTCCTAGAAAATCACGTTGAGAACACTTGAACACTACAATCATTCCCAACAGAGGTTCCACTTAGGCTTACGTATTCAGAAAACATGATTTGGAAGCTACCCAAGGAATCGACAATATTAATCCAATCGACAGCAAGACCCCATCCATTTTAACTCTTTAACTAAACGTCCATTGGGTAACTTTCAATTCATCCACCAATGTTCTTCCTTCTTTTGGGGCATGTATGGTAGCTCCTCAGCTACTTCACGACGCAAGTTTTCCTCCCAGTCGTCCTCCAATTCCTCTACTTCGTATTCGCTCAATTCACCCTCAATCTCGTTTGAACAGATCGGGGCACTGTATTCAAAACCAGCTCGAGAATAACTAGTCACCTAAGCTTAATTTCTACACAAAAAGACTCGAAGCACCGCTACTCAATGTAACACGAGAACTGAACTTGAAAGACCCTCCTCTCGAACGCCTAAAAGATATCGCACTTTCTGCACACAAGGGGACTATACTCCAAAAGCGGTGTTTTTGTTTGTTATGACTGCAATAACTTTTGGCACAGTTAGAACATCTTATGCTACTCTATTCAAGAAAAGCACAAAGCTAGCCAAACACGGGTTTCTCTAGACAAAAGGCATGGATCAATTTGAAGTGACCTTATCCCCTTTCTTAAAGAACGGAATGAGTATACATTTGTGATCTCATCAGAAGCTCTTGTTACTTAGAGAGTGACTTTATCCAAAATTTGCAGAAGATAGAGTATATTTGCCTGCTTGTGACTGGTGCTATAGATAGAAGAATTCGCTGCTGTTAGCAGGGTATTAAAAAGCTGAACATGAATATGGGAAGTTTTTTTTAGCTTAACTAAACGCCTCAGTTTTTCTAGGTATTACGTACTTATCAATAACCAGAGTTCCAAGCGTAATTAAAGAACATGATTCCTGCATGAAATTCGACTTTATATCCATAGTTTTGGTCCTGGACATATTCGCAATCCTCCTAGAGAGAATCAAGTCAAGAACCTTCAAAGCCTATATATATCCACCTCACCAAGCTCTAAGATTCCACCACTGGAACTCCGTATATCCAAGAATGAAGAACTCAGTTCTGATTCTGATCATCAGCTTTGAGAAAAAGGTTGGAATACCTGATTCTGCGGTGGAAGTATATCATCTCGTATCAGAGAGGACCGCATCAGTATTAGTACCACCGACAACCATGTAGGTCAATAAGCACTACCATCAATTCAGATACCTAGGAAACAAGTTGGAAACGGAGAATGTATCTATCAAAATCGACAGCCCCAAAATAAACGACAGCAGAAAAATATGGTTTCCTGTTATTATGAGAGTTTACTGTGGCATTTCGAATCAGTAATAGCAGCTTATGTAAATCGACATTGAGCTCTATAAAACTGCTATTTCTAACCTTTCCTTTACCGTACCTCTACGCTATCCGCAGTGGAGACTTGAAGATAAGTTGTAGTACTGTAACGGTGACACACCCTCGACAATAGTTTTTTTATTTTTATGAAAGAAGCATAAGTGTTCATACTGTTCTTTAGTACAATCTATGGGCCTCCTAGATATGCTTGAGAACTACAGGCATGCAACTTTAGTAGGATTTGGAAGTGCTGCTATATAGCATTTGATAGAACCAGATGGTATATCTTGGAGTATTTAGGAGCCTCAGATGGCATTCTTTCTTGTGTGGATTATTGAGAAAAGTACCCATCTAAATCCTACAGCTTTAATTTCTCTCTTTCTCTCATCATAATCCAGAACGAACGTGTAGAACTAAGCCGTCATATTACAACAATAACCCACATTTCTGATCATCAAAATATGAACTTCTCTTAAAAGCAAACCAACTTCCTTAATAGTAAAAACTTGAAAGCAGTCGCTTTAATCCTACTTTCCAACTTCCTCCTCTGTTCTCACCAGCAAGTATTCCACACCCGCAAGATTCCTGATTCGTAACAAGAACAGCAGTAAGTCACAACCAAAATCTCCATCCTTCTCTACTTTCCCCTAGTCCCCAATTACGGCATCCTGAATCTACCACTAAACCAGATGACTAAATCGCAATCCAATCCTCTCCTTCATTACCAGAAGTCTCGATTTGCTTGATGCTCAAACAGCACTCTGACTCAATTGTAACCCAAGAGCGATCACACCGAACGTTACACAGAGGTCAACGAATTCCCTCAAACTTTCGGTCCAGAGTTAACACACAACTTGTCTTAACGAACCATATGTTCTCTAGCTCCAAATATCCGTGGGTAACCAGAACCCAGGGAGTAGTGTTAAGTTAGCCAGTGAGTCATCTCGTCCGTCCATGCTTCTTCGTACTCGAAATCTGGGAGAACATTCAGCAATTTAAACTCAACACTCACCACAATAGCTTCACCTAAAACCCCATTTCTAAGGTCATGCTTGGCTCAAACTTCATACCCAGATTATAGAAGGTACTGTACTATACCCACCAAATCGACAGCACAACACAGCACAAAAGCACCTAACAGCAACAATCAAATCCTTCCCAAAAACCCTAGTCAAATTATCTTATCTAGCTACCCCAAACGTTTCATCTTTAAACCTAGCCTTGAGAACCTTCTTGTCCTTGCTCCTCTTCTTCACGATTATCTTTTTATTTGGTGGGGGGCTTCCAGTACCAGTTCCAACCCTTAAAGAAACAACACTGATTTCAGATGTATAGTTGGGCGCACAATCGTATCAAAAACCTGATAGTAGTAAAGGGCTTACAAAAACATTGCCAGTCATGTATTCACATTACCAAAAATCACTCATGAAATATCACAAAAAGAAAGCACATAATATCGGTTGAACGAATTATCATTGTCCTTATCCTCAAAGCAAATAACAGGAGAAAAGTTCCACCTTTATAATCTCATCTGTTGTACCTCGTGTGTGGCTGGCCTCGATGGTGAATTGTAACCTGCCAGCTCGACTCGAGTGGGTATCCTAGTAAACGCCATATCATCCCTAATAATGACAAAACATACATCAACGCCGCTGCTATGCAACATCTCATCTCTCTCTCTTATAATTCGTATGTAATATACCACTACCTGAAGCAAATAAAGCAAAAATGTCGACAAAATGAAACGCGGTACAGTAGATGTTTGTGTCGAAAATTTGGATTGCGCCCTATGTATCTTGTGATGGCGATATTATGTATCACATAGACCCATATTCTTTGAGACTTTGTCCCAAGTTTCTTCAACGGAGGTGCAGAATCTTTTTGGCGTTCTCGTAGACAACATAGGTAATGCTGACAGCTGGAACAACCTTCAACAGATTCGGGGTGATGCCCTTAAACAAACCCCGAACACCCTCATTCTTGATTGTCTTTCGTGCAACATCCGCAATTCCCGTATATGTCGGAGGATGAAGAACAGTTCCTTGGGCCTGTAGTCTGGTTCTCAAAAGATTGATCGGATAAACAATGCTAGCTCCGAAGGCACCCGAGAGTGCACCAATGCAGCCTGTGGCAAATGATCCAGGTAGAGCATCATCTTCGTGACAGCCCATTATTCTGGCATTGCGTCTTGCGAGAGAAGCCTTAAGAAACTCGAATGTTCCAAGGTCGATTGCAGAATAAGGGAACATTCCAACTAGACCCATAGTGAGGCCTCGATATGGCGCACGAATTCCACCGGTCTGCCACATTTTTTTGGCAGTTGCAAAGATGAGTTGATTTCCCTGGAGACCACCAGCCACTGTTTCACACTGCATTCTGTTGATTGTTAGTACCAATATTACAGTATAGAGCAACACCGTACTTACCGAAACTTGAGTGTGTCGAGTGGATAAACGAAGAGTCTGAGAAATTAGCAAGTTAATATCATATAGGGCGGAGGAACAAACTGTGATATGAGACCACCAACACCACCAGCTACAAATTTCGAGTATGCATTGATCTTTTGGGGATCGCCATGACCTTCAAATTGAGCCAACGCTCTCTTCGCAGCCTCATAACCACCAAACTTGATGGCCGACTCAGGCATGACCTTGACCACATTCAGGCCATTTCCTAAATGAATTAGCTTCTGATACGTTAGCCAGCAAAGTTCAGCTTACCAGCAAACAAGCTGCGCATGCCACCAGCCTTCCATAATTCTCGAGTTGCATTAACGAGAGGTCTGCCAACGGTTTTGGCCGCCTGAACTGCATCGCCTTTCTTGACAGCATCGATCGTGTCCTTGGGAGGTCCGGTATTGGCGATCAAATAAACCTGTCATATGTTAGCAGAATCTTGCAATTTGATCTGATCAGCCCACCTTGAGGCGGTCCAAAGGTGCTGTAGCAGTACGCGAAATTGCTCCAGCGGCACCACCTGCGGCAAAATACCCTAGAAGCACAAACTGATTAGCAAAATCTCTGATAAAACTCTATAAGTATTAGAAAGAGATATTAACCGGGATCGGGCAAGACGTCTGTGAAAGAGAACTTCTTAGACTCTATATCTAGGTCAGAAGATTGGATAGGCAGCTCTTGCTGTTCCGTCATTTTATTGTATGATGCTGTTTTCATCGGTTTCGTCGTGCTGCCCGCCGCAGCTTCGGCCATGGCAGCTTTTCTTGCACCGCCAAGCATGTCGTCGTCGATGCTAGGTGTACTTATTATATTTGGTCGTAGATCTTCTGGAGGCGGGAGTTTAGGCCGTTCGGCAATTTTTATAATAGTGCCAAAGAGTGCTGAAAGAAATGAGGCTCTACCTAATCCTTCCAAAGTTTCCTCGCTGATAGACGTATCACCCTCTGCGTTGATCGTGACGGTGGATGAAAAGTATGAGAGAATCTCCTTGAGTTCGGGAGCGTCGGTGGGTAGAAATAACAAGAAGTTCCTGTGGAACGTTAGAAACTTTAGCTTGGTGAATGGAGTTTTGTATAGTTGGATCAAGCGACGCGGTCTTATGTTCGGTGATGGGACTAAACAGCCCCTAATTCACCATGACGAATTGTAGAACTCGGCACTTGTAACCTTCACTACCGACAAGCTTACCTCCATTCAGAAAACGAAATGTATCCCTACTCATAATTAGCAATTGCATAGGAACGATTTCGAGGCCTATGCGAACATCATTGTTTTGGTCAACCTCCGCAAAAAAGACGTCCAGTTTGGAATTAGGAACAGCAAGTCCAGCTTTTTTAAATGCCGCGCGCAACTCGTTCTTGTCCAACCTTCCATCATGATCGCGGTCTATGGATTCGAAGAGAGCAAAGAGCTCTTTCTCGGTTTTCTCGACAAACTTGCGGAATTCTATGGACGTGTATCAGCGCAATCCAGAAAGAAGCGACATCAGGACTCGGAACAGAAAGACAAGAACCAGGTGATAAACGAACGGCCCCCTACGTACCATCGTATTGTATTCTCTCATCGCCGTCTCGATCCATTGCCTTGATCACATCCTTGAGCATATCATCTGCATTTTTCAATGCTGCGAGAATTGTTAGTATATAGAGCCAGATAGAGGGGCAGTGTGACTTGCGATGGTCAATTCGACGGAGGCCTTTCTTCAACCCATTGAGATCCAGCTCGCCCTTCTTCTGAGGATCAAGATTGCTCCACAGTTTCTCAATCCGGAGGTCCCGCGAGTTCTGGCTCTCTGGGATGTGCATCTTCAAATCCCCTTGCCGAGTCCTATCATTGCTCGTCGCTGCTTCAAAGATGGAAGAGCTGCCACGCGTGTAGCGCAGTGGTTATCATCGGTGTGTAGGTGTTGGCATACCAAAGTTTGATACCAGCTTGTGGGGGTAAGGTTGTGGAGTGGAGAGGTTGAGGAAGGTTGATGTTGGTGTTGAAGATCAGTCTCAGAGAGGTTCTGTGTAGCTTGTTCACTTGCGGTTATTGAGTGTATTCCTGTATTCCTGTATTCCTGTATTCCTGTATTCCTGTATTCCGACCTGCTCGGCAGTACTTCGTCACTTGAACACAATTGGCTGGTGCTGACAGAATTCAGGGTCGCCGTAAGCAGCCGATAAGCCCTTATCAGGAAGCTATTAGAAAGCTACAAGCTTCCACTTTCGGATGATGTCGTACACCATAGAGGGCATCACTGGCGTTGTCCAACGACACTTCTTCAATACTATTTCTTCACAGACCCGTCCCCTGGTTTTAGCATCAGGAACGCTGACACATTGTCTTGTCATCTTATGCTGAACCAAGGTTGTCCCTGATAGTGAACAGGTACCAGTACACTCCTTCGCAAATGGTTCATACCCACACCAACAACAGCCTTGAACCCTACTTATTACGTTGGCCTCGAACTACTCGAGTACTGCCAGCCAGCACTTCGCAGATAGTTAATTCAATCAATGGCGGCCAACTATTGGGAATCCACACAGCGAAGGAACTGGCTATATACTCGAGAGCAACTGGATGATCTGAGAAAGAAGCTGGAGGAAGATGACCCAACTCGTGTGCAGTTATACCCTTTGCCACAGTTGAGGTATCTAAGTATATATTTCAACCAGCGTAAGTTTGCTCTTTGCTTGTCGTAAGGTTTGTATCTACTTCTGACTTTGCTATCTTACAGAAGTGGCACGCCTGGGGAAACGTCTTGGGGTCCGGCAGCAAGCGATGGCAACAGCACAGTTATACATTCGAAGATTCTATTCCAAAGTTGAGATCAGGCGAACGAATCCATACCTCGTGATAGCAACCGCAGTCTACCTTGCAAGCAAAATGGAGGAAAGTCCGCACCACATCAGACTAGTTGTATCAGAAGGGCGGACATTGTGGCCAGGTGCAAACCATATCCTGCCTCTGTATGGCCAAATAATGCTGACTTTGGCGACCAGATTTCTTTAGCAGTGATACTTCCAAACTTGGTGAATGCGAATTCTTCATAATATCCGAAATGAGCTCGCAAATGATTGTTCACCATCCTTACAGAACATTAACCTCCCTACAATCGACCTTTTCCCTCACCCAACAGGAAGCCTCTCTCGCTTGGTCAATTATTAACGATCATTACATGACCGATTTACCCCTCCTCGCTGCACCGCATACCATAGCTATAATGGCTATCCTTCTCAGTCTGGTACTTCGCCCAAACCAAACTGGGGTTCAGTCTGCCAGTTCAGCTGGCAATATCGCAAGTGCGGCACAAGCTGCTTTGAGCTCAGTGGGCTCCTCAAGATCTGGACAAGGTGGAGCTCCAAGGACCAAGTTACAGAGGCTTGTGAATTGGCTTGCAGAAAGCAATATTGATATTGAAGCTATTGTCGATTGTACTCAGGAGATTATCTCTTTCTACGAGGTCCAAGAACAGTTTAACGAGAAACTCACAAGAGAGCAGATCAACCGGTTTGTTAAGGCTTGCGGGCTTGATAAGTGATGGAAAAGGAAGCGGTAGTTCCAAATATTTGAAGAAGTTTGAAGTAAGGAAATCCAAGAACGACGGGAAGTTCCAGGAGGAAGAAGAAAGACCCAAAGTTAAGCCCGGTTACTCGGTACGCCGGCAGGGGCATGAGATGAGGACTCCTTCCACGCAGGCAATCTCAGTGTCTGAGTCGACCTTGATTTTGCCGTCTGGTGTGCCTCTTGTTCCGGGACACGTTGGCAAAGGAATAGATATTGGATATTCATAAAGGTTGGCAGAGAGGCTATACTAGGTCTATAACTTTTACTTGTTCCATTACTGTATCTTAGAATCTTTGTTAATAGAATTCCTAGTAAACTATGGAACAAATGAGATTACATCTAGTATGCATTCACAGCGTAGAATTTGAGATCCTCTGATTAAGGTTAGATACTTGATAGCCGATTTACTTACTCTACGTTTCTGCTGTAGGTTCTACTATGCCTCTCAAGTATATGTAGTAGGTTAACATGTAGAGGTTAGAAAAAACAGTTAGGGAGACCAGTATACTGAAAATCAAGAGCTCTATTAACTGAGGAACAGCTTGGTTATCAAAAGAAAGAAAAGCGTTTCCTGGCTAGGCTCGCAGAATAATAGGAAGTAAAACCCAGATTTTCATTTCTACATAAGAGATCTGATTCTCAACTCCCAGCCCTATCTTTTATCCCAAGTCTACCATCAAAGCTTGATCAAGCAATTTTTATCTATCTTCCTCGTCCTCCCATTCTCCAATACCAATAACACATCTGGCAACTTAGCAACCGCTGCAGGTGATGATTGCATTGGTTTGTCCGGGTGGAACAAAGCATGACATTGAGCCCTTTTATATAATGTTAGTGAATGGACGGAGTGCTGCAGTAAAAAAGGGAGAGAGAGAGAGGGTTACCCCATTACCGCCACATTGGCTGTCACATCTTTGGTCGATCTCGGATACGGAGGGACATAGAGGTTTTCCGACGTTGATTGTTACGGCTGTGCTCAAGGCTACGAGGGAAGAGAGGATGAGGAGGCTGCTTGGGAACTGTATTTTGAAGGAGGGTTTGAATTTTGAACGGAAGAAGATTTGGATGGGTAAGTAGGGAGCTGATGAGGTGATTGGATGGGTGGTGAAGAGATAGATTGGGAGTCACATCAAGATACTTATACTTACGTTTCTGCTGGTATAGCAGATCTGAACTATCACATGGGTATCGGAGGATTGGTTCGCATTCGCAAACTGCCCAGGTGGTATAATGTCTGTCGGCGATATCGAAGACCCCGACAAGGCCGCTCTTCTACAGTAGATTTACCAAGTAACTTCATCCAAGACGAGGTGATCGTCACTTTTCCGGGGGGTTTCTCCATATTCTCCACTAAAGAATCCCCAGAAATTCACGATTTATCATGCCGGGGACGAAGTTGCTAAATTAATACACATGCTTGGCAGAACTGTGGGGTACGATTCTTGGGGATCTGCTTAATGTTGCTGCTTCTACGAATTCTTGACCTGAGGGTCTTGATGATGATTGGTTGTTCAAGCATGTAGTGAGGTTATTCTTGTTATTTACTTAGGAGGTGCCCGAAAAGTTTCCGGGCCCGGAGTTATATGGTTATGGTTATGGTTATGGTTATGGTTATGATTATGGCTATTCTTAATTGGCATTCGTATCCTTGCATCAAGGGTTTTTCGTTTTCTGCCTACTGTATTACTAGGACTTTCGAGGATTCTCCGTGAGCATAAACCAAAGTAATATTCAAAGCAAAATTACCAGTAAAAATATAAAACAAACCAACGATCTAAACAGCTGGCGGCTGCCCTCCTTTTGTATAAAACTCGGATTTGATCATACAGCATTATGAATTATCCGATTGATGTGGGGTAATGTCAGAGATCAACAAGGCTATGTAGGGAGCCGAGCTGTCTTGAAAACCCCCTAAGTAAAGTATGTTATATTCAGTAACAACAAGAGTTTTCTCGCCAGTAAATACCCTGATCGCATAGTATCTATGCGTCACGCTACTTTGTTGGAATGGAGTAGGTTATGATTTACTGGGTTCGTTTTATAAGAGGGGAGTAGTAGTCTGATTGTTGTCTTTAGATAACTACTCTTCTCTTCCTATTTATGTGAATGTTTATTTTGCCGATTATATAGATTACCTTTTCAGATAAAAAGATAAACAAAAGAATAAACAAATCCAAAAAGAACCCCCCCCCACTCAGAGTGTATATAGTGCTCTGTAAGAGTAGTAGACAGCTAAAGTCTTTATACTTTGCTACGAATGGTAGAGTAAAGGGTCTAGAAAGTTCGAGTCTCCCCCTCCTCTGTTTATGACCTATTATAGGTAGAGTATAAATCCACAAGCTAAATCGGTTGTCTGATTCATGTAAATGTAAATCTATATCAGAAAGTAAAAAGGAGGGGGGACCCGAGCTGTCCAGACCTTTTAGTGGGTTAAATGTGATAAGTATAATAGTAGTGTATACATGTCCGGAACAGCCGGTGGATAGTAATCTTACATATCCAAAATGCTACAGGTAACGTACTCCATCAAACTTACATATCTTCACAAATACCCCTAACCCAATAACGCGCTCATCCAGAGTTACTATCATTCAACTTCTACTTCATACCAACTCTTCCTGCCATTCCTTGCCACAATTCTCTTCTACTACACGCTTCCTTCATCACTTCTTGAATTCTAGTACCTCGGGAAGCGAGTAGATCGACAAGGTAAATATAACAGCGTCAGGCGTCGTTTCCGGAGAAGCGGGAAGATACAATGAAGATCTTAGGAAACACGATACCCTTCCCAAGGTCCAGCCAATGTATGGTATCTCCCCTCCGAAGTTCTCCCCACCACTCCTTTCCTATCCGTACAAATCAGAGAGCAACACAGTGTTTACGAATGTAGATAATATTAGACAGGCAAATACCTGGTATGTGGAAAGGTAGGGGCAGTTGGAGTACTCCTGAAGAGCTTTCAGCGAATACGTGGGATTTAGTTAGATTTTGGATTAGCGAATAACCTCGTTTTTTCACCTTATTTCGGCGTCTCCTTCCTACCCCGAGAGAGAAATCTTACCTCTCCTTATCTACTCCTTTCTAGATAAGTGGCACATTCTGCTCTCCTTTTCCTAGCTAGAGATATAAAGCTTCTGCTCCTTTGCTGGTGGTTAGGAGAGGAAAAGATGGGAGATACTATATACTAGGTCCAGATTTATAAGAAAAAAAGATAGAGTTACTACCTCTCTTAGTATCTTAATATACTATCGTAGAAACGGTTCTAATATATCCTATATATTCTCTATCTAGAGATCGAAAGAAGAAGACTAGTAAGTACTTTCACTTTAAATATATTTCTTACTAGGGAAATAATATAAGCTTAGATACTGTCGGTATATAATTCTGGTGAATAGCACCTTGTACGAGAGCCTGGTAGACCTATGTACTTTAGGTCATGTGAGTGGCTTGCTACTCACATACTTAAGTCTGTAGAGTACCACCTCTCTTTACCTTTACTCTTCATGCACGAATGAATACAAAGAGAGATTATGTTTGTGTATCACCCTTTACGACAACCAGGTCGTACCAACAGATACTATATTCTAGCTTTCCCCCCTAGATTTTCTAGAGAAAAGAGCTAAGCGAATAGCTTATAATAAAAACTAGTTTTTTATTATTCGACCGTCTTAGAATATACTTTAGTATAAGTATAAGATACGAACAAGTATTATATATAACTATTATAGATTACCTAACTAGGTATAGTAGTACTATTATATCAAGAACTCTAAAGACCTAACTATATATTATTATATACCCTCTCCTTCTCCTAAGCTTCTTATAAAACTAATAATCTATTCCAAGATACTACTTCTATTACCTCTATATATCGAACCCCTTACTCCCCTCCTTCCCTACCCTTATGTCACGAATCACGTGTTCACGTGATACCTGTCATAATAAGAGGCGCGACCCTCGATAGGCCCATCCAGGTTTCTTATAGCAAATAGGGATCGTTTGGAGTAGCTAAGCGATCCAGGGATTTCTCTGTATTGTTATCACGTGATATTAGAAGTTCGCCAGTTAGCCGGGCGAACAGGCGAAGTTAGCCAGTTCGATTGTCGAACGAGCGAACATCGAGAGAACGTAGGTTCTATATAAGACTGGCACGTCTGCCATTAGATAGGAGCTTCGTGCTCAACTTAGTTATCGATCTTATCATATTAGTTTGACATCTTTGATACAAGTAGCGAGTTCACTTCCAAGTGAACAACCCGATAGTTGTGACAGACGTGCTTCAGGTAGAACTCAGAACAATTAACACTCTATTCTTAGGACAAAAGACGAGGAAAGAAGGAGAGCTCGAGAGAGCTGGAACTAAATACAGGTCGTGCGCGCTAGCGCCTCGCTAAGCGAGCATGTGACATCCAGCCCTCGTGTCCATAACCGTCACAATAGTCTTCTTCTTATCATAGCATACCAACCAGCGAACACCCAGCCAAGTTTAGTTAGCCAGTTTGAGTATTCGTTACACCTTATACTCCTAAATAAAAATCTTTAGTTTACTGCCTACTCCCTTATAACGTACCTAAGACACGCTGTTTTATTTAAACTTCTAATATACTAAATAAGATCGTACTATTAAACCTCTCTTATATTTACTTTACTTTGTTATAGAGAAACCCTTTATACTCCCCTACTCCCCTCCGTTATACCCCTAAACAAAAATCTCTAATTAACTACTTACTCCCTTATAACGTACCCCGCTAATTAATCTAGACTTCTAAATATACTAATAAGATTTATTATTAAACCTTCTCTTATCTTATAATTACTTTACTTTATTAAAGTTATATTATAATAAGAGTCTCTCGAAGATACTTCTCGATACCTCCCGAGAAATAAGTAGGAAAGATACTCTCTTATCTTATTTAATTAAGTGTTAATTTCTTAGTTAGCTATTAAGCCGCTTAAGAATTATAAAAGAGCTTTAAACCCCCTCGTATTTATAATACTAGACTACTAATATAAATAAATAGAGCTACTCGAACTTACCTATATAAAAGAACTTTAATTAGGTACTTATATATCTATACTTCTAGACTATTAATACCCTATACTATCTACCTTTGTAAAAGAGCCTTAAAACCCCTTATTCGCGGTACTAGACTACTAATATAAACAAGTAAAATCACTCGAACTTACCTGTATAAAAGAGCCTTAAATTTATAGTACTTAACTATCGGTTAAATAAATAGAACCACTTGAGATTAGCTATATAAAAGAGCCTTAAATTTATAGTACTTAACTATCGGTTAAATAAATAGAACTACTCGAGATTAGCTATATAAAAGAGCCTTAGATACTCGCGTATTTATACTTCTATAATATCTCTACTCTACCTTATACTATCTACCTATATAAAAGAACCTTAAGTACTTCGTCTTTATAGCATATTTAACTAACTAGTTAGAAAAGCTACTAGTTGTCACAAATCACGTGCTAGCACGTGAGGAGTTAGTCCAGACGGGGTTCTGACAGGACAAACACATCATGGCTCTTATAGCAAAAAGGGATCGCTTAGGTTAGTTAAGCGATCCAGGAATTTCTTTGTATACAAGTCACGTGATATATGCAGGTCGACTTCTCGCCTGGTCGAGAAGTCGATTATCGACTATGTCGACAGTCGACATTGTCGACTTCAGGAACACGAAGGTTCTATATAAGACTGGCACGTCTGCCATTAGATAGGAGCTTCGTGCTCAACTTAGTTATCAATCTTATCATATTAGTTTGACATCTTTGATACAAGTAACGAGTTCACTTCCAAGTGAACAACCCGATAGTCTTCTTCTTATCATAGCATACCAACCAGCGAACACCCAGCCAAGTTTAGTTAGCCAGTTTGAGTATTCGTTACACTAGTATACTAATTATATCTATACCAGACCGAAATTAATTAATTAACTTTTTCTACCTAGAATAAAAGTAGAATATATTACTCTACTTCTATAAGGACCTAGTTTGTAAACGAGGATTTAAAGCTAGAGAGAAAAAGAGGTTCTGATTAAAAAGTACAAGTTCATATACATAGGGTGTAAACGGGAGGGATATGTAGTCGCGTGTGACACGTGACTGTCATCCTGTGGCCCGCAGCTGGGTTAGGGTCGTTATGATATTTCTACCATCTCCTGAGTCATAATATAAAAATAAGATGATCATGAGTACGGATGTGTATACTCATGTTCAAGTCATGTTCCGGACTCGAGTTTTTTCTTCAAGTAGAAATAACATCACCAGATCAGTTGCCAGAGACACCACTTCTATAAACAACCTCGACAACCTGACTCGGTCTCCGAAACCCGGATGGCGTCACCACGTGCACCCAATCCACTTTGGGCACTTTCACATCTCTCCTAATTCAGTCAGCATAATTACCGTACGGTACCTGTACACTCAGTACTCAGTAAATTGAACTATCCACTTTGGCACTTCATAAGGTCATCTCAACAACGTGGACATGCACAACAATCCAACGGCTCCATGGTGCTCCTCTCCATGGAAGAAAAGAATACCATGATTCCCATACCTGGACTCTGGTTGGCTAAAACAAGACATGTGTGCGTGTGGTGGGGAAAGAATGGTAGAGTGAGAACCTTGAAAAAAACTGGCGGTGAGCAGAGTGGCAGCGCAGTGTGGGGCTTTACTCTCGTAGGAATTTGTGTCATGGTGTTTGGGGGCGGCTAGAGTGGAGTGTTTGGATGTGCGTGTTGGACTGGGCTGGAACAATCATCACACCGGGTCCACGGCAATACAAACCACTGTACGAAGCGTATTGTGGAGGAGCAGCAATACGGAGGGTACTTGGCTGTGGCTTGATCTGAACAAGAGGGTCTTGGAGACCCGAGAAGAGATGAGATGTTGAGATGTTGAGATGTTGATGGAACGGATGAAATTCAGGAGTTCATGGGTCAAAACAATTTCAGATGAGAGGTCCTGGAGGTGTGTCTCGGGCAACAGAGGAGATCCAGGCTGTGCTGTGCTTCCGCTTTGATTCGGAATATTCTGTGAGGAGAAGAATTTATAGAATTGATATGCAGTGGATGGTGGTGGGAATGATTATTGGTTGCTGGGACAGCAATCCGGGAGATAGGATAGGGTTAAGGATGAGATTCCCGTCGATTGCATCAGTTGTGACCTGGGTACAGCACACGGGGAGGTTGATGATCCTTCCTATCGAGCCTATCGAACCTATCGAGGGGCAGATTCTCGATGAGCGTACTCGTAAGCTGTGCAGAAGTGTAGAGGGGTGGTGGAGGGTAGGGTGTACGAAGAACGGGAGATTGGAAAGTGTGGAAAGTGTGGAGATGAGGGGAGGAGGGGAGGAGGGGAGGAG